TGAAAATAATAGGTCATGTTCACAATTTTAACAAACCAAGACCATATCTTAGTATCGAATCTGAAAAATTTGTCACGTTTGTTAAAATGCAATTTTATGTGTTCCGCTATTTCTTCCGATCAAAATGATTCCAAATTTGACAAAGACGAGGGGGAAATCTCTTGGGCTCGTAGCGTACGGGTTATTTCGTGGTGTTTCTCCTGCCATTTCAGTTATTTCTCGCCTATTTTGGATTATTGAAGGGTATTTCGCGGTATTTCAGAGTATTTCATGGGTATTTCGCGACTATCTAACCGACTACTTCGCGTCTATTTCGCTCTATTTCGCTCTATTTCGCCTTTATTTCGGACTATTTCGGGGGAAGGTGTACGAACTATTTAGCAAGTGATTTCCTCCTCAGACTCAAATAGGCGCAACATAACGTTGAGTGCGGACGGCTGCAAGCAGCCGCTTAGAAAAAACAGTTGAATGTTTGTTGCGGCCATCTTGGAACTTATTGTTCTTCTAACCCCTAAAATCACTGCGGCTGGATTCAGTTTCGTGAGAAGCGTTGCCTAACGGTGAAGCGGCCTCACTGAAATCGCTTGCCTCAGAGGTTTTCAGCCAATTACAGTAGTTCTCAAAGCTCTGAGGGCAAGCGATATCAGTAAGGTCACCTCACCGTGAGGCAACGGGTAACGGGTCTCACGAGACTAAATCCAGCATCATTCAGAATATGCTGTTTGTTTGTCGATTTTTTAGGCCCCCCCAAGGGGGCCTTCCTGCGAGCACTTTTTAGGCCCCCCCCAAGGGGGCCTTTCTGCTTGCGTGCGAGCGCTTCTTCTTTTCTTTCCCTCATTCATTAAGGTACCGCGACTTCTGTTGAACAGATTTTAATAAAATTTTATCGAAAAATCAATCCAAAAATAAGTTTTCATTTGACTATAGCCTCATTAAAATCCTGCTGGCCAATTTTGAGAAAATTAAAGTTAAACATCGAAATTATCACGAAAATCGGCAAAATCCTGCCAAGCCAACAATGGTTCGCACTTCTAGCATTCTTTCTGTTGATACCTGCGGCTTACATTTTCACTTAACAGTAACACGTATGAAACAAAAATTCAAGACAGAATATTAAGCTTCCGAACGATATGTTCAAAATCTTCGTGCGACGTTCCAGACGAGAACGACAGCAAGCCGAACAATATGCGACATTTACGCTTATTCTTCGTGTCTTGTTTTTAATTTCTAGCGCAATTAGTATTGATTTAAACAGGGAAGTGTAAGCGAGCCGATTGTGCACCGTTCTTTAAGCCACCAAATAAGCTTTTAATCGATGCCAAAAGATATCCCGATTACAACTTCTACCAGTTTAAAATCAAAGCTGCACAGTTTGTTTAGAAATGGGCGTGGCTACGACAATCCTGAGTAGAAAGGAGGCGTGGCTTCTAACAATGGTACCAACCTTTGCAAACTCGCTTCATGTTTTTGGATAAATTGAGTGATGTACTCTCCTCACTTTAATGTTCAACCCACCTCTAATAACCCCTTCTTATCGATTTCGCGTGCAAATGACATGTGTTTGAATAATTGTAACTATGAGTAAAAGTTGCCATTGGCGGGAAATGCCCACTAAGTAGTTTCTATAAGGCGCTTTCCTCGCTGTTGGTTTTCTTATTGTGGTGACTTCTGAACGAAGAGCCACAACACTAGCCATCAAGTTTTGACGACTTCCCTCTTTTCTAATTTTCGACGCTCAATCTATTGAAGTGATTAATTAAATAATTATTCTTCGTGTGCATACGATTGTTCGTTAAAACTTCATGGGCCGATTAGCGTGTTAGCGTTAGAATTTTTTTTTTATGCCATTTTTATTAAGGTACAGCCACTTCTGTGATACAGATTTTGATAAAATTTTAACAAAAAATCAATCTAAAAATTAGATTTCATTTGACTATAGCCTCATAAAAATCTGTCTGGCCAATTCTGAAAAAATTAAAGTTAAACATCAAAATTATCACGAAAATCGACAAAATGCTGCCAAGCCAACAATGGTTCGCACTTCTATCAGTTTTTCTGTCGATCCCTGCGGGTTATCTTTTCACCTAACAGGAAAACGTATGAGACAAAAATTCAAGACCGAAAATTAAGCTTCCGAACGATGTGTTCAAAAGTTTCCTATGACTTTCCAGTCGGGAGCGACACCAAGCTGAATGATGTGCCACATTCCCGCTTATTATTCACATCTTATTTTTAATTTCTAGTGCAGTTGGTGTTAAATTAAACAGGGCAATGTAAGCGAGCCGATTGTGCACCATTCCTTAAGCTATCGAATAAGCTTTTTACCGACGCAGTACACTGTCAAAAAAACTGTACCAAAGTACAGCAAAAGCACGGTATGTTTGTAGTGGTGAGGTACATATCGTTGTACTTTTTTGCTGTAGTTCCCATAAGACTCCATGTTAAGGGATACTGTACTTTGTACCTCACAATACTGTACCTTACTCACTACAATGCAGGCAAGGACTTGACCAGTTCGTGCTGTGTTTTTTTCTGACAGTGTAAGATATTCCAATCACAACTTCTACCTATTTAAAATTAAAGCTGCAAAGTCTGTTTAGAAATGGGCGTGGCCACGAAAATCCTCGGTAGAGGAGGCGTGGCTTCTAACAATGGTACCAACCTTCGCAAACGGACTCGCTTTATGTTTTTGGATAAAATGAATGATGACCTCTAATCACTTTTATGTTCAACCCACCTCTAATACCCTTTTTTAACGTTTTCGTGTGCCCTTCAGAGGTGGTTACATGACATGTGTTTGGATAATTGTAACTATGAGTAAAATTTGGCATTGCTGGGGAAAGCCCAAGGAGCAGTTTCTATAAGGCGCTTGCCTCGCTGTTGGTTTTTGTTATTGTGGTGACTTCAGAACGTAGAGCCACAACACTAACCATCAGGTTTTGAAGACTTCCCTCTCTTCTCATTTTCAACGCTCAATCTGTTGAAGTGAATAATTGAATGAGTATTTCTTCATACGACTGTTCGTCAAACTTTAGGGGCCGATTAACGCGTTAGCGTTAGAATTTTTTTTTGTTCTTTTTAGGGGGGGGGGGCTTCTATCGTTGTACGACATTTGACGCCTCCTTGCACGTCTTAAAGTACAGCGGGGTCGTTTTCACCGTACTTTCGTCGAAAAAAACACTCTAGCACCGAAACAGTGCAAGATAAAGCCAAACGGACAAAATTTTGGTCCAAAAGGCTCTGCACCCCTTAAAAGAACTTAAATACAATATTGTTTTCCTCTTTGAAACAACCCCTACTTCTTTGTTACCCCTTTAACCTGCTTAGGGGTCGTTTGCCAGGATAAGCCGTAGGTGTTTTTTTTTCTGGAAGTGAACCTTAAAGTACCCTGAATTTTGTAGAGATCTGGCTCATGTCCTCTTACTCACACGGACGACGGACAGACGGACGGATCGAAAGCGGTTAAGCCCACTTTAATGCTTTTTTAAAAGCAGAAGGGAGGGCTAAAACGAGAAAAGGAAGTTTTTTTGTGCGGTTTTGTAAAACAATTCAGGGGAAAAAGAAATAAGTGATATGTAATGAACAAACAGAGAACCCAGCGGTTAAATTCGAGCCGTCGGGGTATCGGAAATGCACGCTGTTTCATTGACAATAGGAAAAGGACCCAAAAATAAAACCACCGGAGTTTTTTTAAACCCCTTCCGTAAAACCATGCCTTCCAAACACAGTCTTAAAGAAATGAGAACACCAACCTCTAGGATATGCCAGAACTTGATCAAGGCGACAGCGTGGCGCGAAGACGCCCAGCAAGCGACGGGTATGAAGTAGATGTAGCTGAGACACACAGCGGTGCAGTACTCTGGTACCAGGTCCCACAGATGATAGTGCTTGCCGACACCACTGACAAGCGAAAGACGGTTCCCAATCTCTACGCTGGCCAGCCAGCACAGACCGAGCCATGACGGCACGGTCAACGCTATGGGGAGCGAGAGCCACCGGAAGTAGAAGGTGCCTAGAGGTGGATGAATCACTCAGTTTCAGGGGTGGAACCGTCATGTCCTCAGTAAATCCGTCCACTCAATAAGAGTTCCGAGGCAAATACACGGAAAAAATGGGTTGGTCGTGGTGACTAGATTGTCCTGGCTGAGACTGAATTGGTTGTAGGCATCGAACCGCTTGGTTGTGGCAGCCGGCTGGGTTTGCTCTCGTGTTAGAACTCGCTTCGTAGGGTCTGCTCGGTCGCTACAACCAAACTCCGCCCCACATTCTGGCTTGGCTGTGCCCACATTGTTATTCAAATACTGTGACGTCACATTCTAAAAAATGTGAATTGTGTCACATTATTTAGAATATGATGACACATTCGTTTTCACGTGACATAGGTACGCCTCTTATGCCCGGAGCCCTTGTGCAAAGGTATGTCACGTTCTAAAGAATGTGACATGATATTCTAAATAATGTGGCACAATTCACATTATATAGAATGTGACGTCACAGTATCTGAATAACAGTGCATGCAAGTGGGTTGATCGCAGCAACTACCCGGCGCCGTTTGCCTAGGTCGACGATCACTACAAGGACGTACGAGAGAAAAGGGGTTGCTCACTATGCCTTGTCACCACCTAGCGGTAGAAATCACGTGCAGCGTGGCACTCCTTCCGAAACCCGGAATGATTATTTCCTTAATTTCATTTCACCCGCGACCATTTTACGTGAATAACTCTTATCTACGGCAAGATAACAACCATTTGAAATTATATTTCGATTATTAAAAACCATTAGTTAATTATTTGCAAAGATACACTTACATTTCTGTTACCTCGCGGTGAGGCCTTCGGTCGCCTCCAATAGTGGGTGTCCCGAGTGACATCTACACGGAACTCTGAATAAGGTTTTGACAAATAATCGTCTTCGGGCGATTGTTAAGACTTGCCGATTTTTGATACCTGCCGGATTTCAGTGGATCACAGGATATTGATCTCAAACTTCAATGTTAATTTCCAGTCAAAAATCAGACAAAACAAATGACGCCCACCGCCCGTATAGTATGTTCTCCAAGACGATAAATCGATCACAGCGATCAACTTTTCAGCTGCAGCCACGAGGTGTAAAACAGACCTACTCCCTGCAACCAAGTAAAGTTCGATTCCTCCTATGAGAGGTTCTGATTGCCACGATCAATCCGCTGGTTGTCGCCACTAAACCTGCTCCAGCTGTCCCGCTTGGTTGTCACAATCAGAAAGTCGATACTGCTGGTATCTCTAGAGAGAAATGGTCGTGGCGATCGACTTACGCTTGCCACAACCAACCATCTTTTTCCGTGTACAGTGTGGAAATCGCATTTCACGAGCGCGAACCTGTGCGAAAGTTGATCATCAAGTGCGAAGCCTCTAAGTGTTCGCACACGCAGGTGCAAATTTTTCACTCGCACGGGGTGCGAAATCTCTTGCTCCTCATTGATCCAGTAGGTCGGGTAATTCGGAACAACGCGAAGTGAGCTCACCTAGGTGTGTCTCCAAGACATTCATAATGCCCCGAACGTTTTTCTCTACATTTTGGAAGCTGTGGCTGCGGAACTTAACCTGCACCGTTGAACAAGAGGGCACAGTGGAAAGGAACCGGAGTGATTTGTGGGCTTACGTTAGGGTGTTTCAAAAAAAATAGATTCGGAGGAGTAGTCGATTTTTCGGTGCGCCATGGTCTTAAGAGTACAGCGCAAAAAATCCGAACGAAATCGGACCCGATTTACCCGGTGCGCGCCACGTTCAAAGTTTCGGGGCGCGCGGGAGTCGCCCGGCCGCGCCGCTGCCACGTCGTCTTTGCGCGCCGCGGGTAGCGAGAGCGCGACGACACTTAAAATGTACAAATTTCAACATTTCGAGGGGGTGAGGGGGGAGGGTTTCCGACGTGGCCAAAACGACAATGCCCGCCGCTAGTCCGACCCATTATCTAACCAAAACCGAGAGCTGCCCTCGAAGTCCTCCTTGCACTCGGGTCCCAGCGGTACCCAAAGCTCGCCGTTGGGCCGTAGGGTGGCCTAAAACAATACCAAAATATTCAGAGAGACCAACGCCGGTCAGAATTACAAATAGTAGATGAAAAATAAAAGCTTGGCACCAAATAAGACAAGCGGCGAATATTTTGATTTGACTACTTCGCCGAATCAATTTTTTTGAAACACCCTAGCTTACGTACGTAGAGTTGGTAAAATTTGTGAATGGGTTAAGCGCATGATGCTCTTCATTCTTTTAAACGTGAAATGTGCTTGAACCAACAACAAAATTCTTAGCCTAAGAACACGCTTCTCTAAGTGAGCGACCGATGTACACGGTACACAGAAAAAACTTCAGCATTTAGTACCCTGGGTAAAAAAACCATGGGGCTGTCCATGAGCCATGGACATAAATTTAACCATGGATATTTCTGACCATAGATTTATGGAACCAGTAAACCATGAAAACAACAGTTGACCATGA